GTGAATAGTCGAGTTTCGGCAGCCGTAGTGAGCACATCGTTCAAAATATTTATTTAATAGTATAATTTTGATTGTAGTGAATAGAAGAAATTATAACGGGTTATTATGGATACCGAGCCACCTGACCGGGTGGCGGTGAGTCACAATCGTTATCAGATGTTGATATAAATACAAGTAGTGAAAGTGAATTGGAGTGGGATAATAATACATATTATGTCACAGAAGGTGACAAAATTCATTGGGTAAATGATACTACTAATATTAGAGATAAATCGGGAATAATTAATAGGAAAGATGGTGAAACATATAGAATTTATAATGAAAATAATGTAATGACTGGTAATAATTCAATAAATGACAGATCGGAAAGTACAAATAAAAAGTTAAAAGCAGATGTAATTGAAGAGGCAAATGCAAATCAAACTAGTGATAATAATTCAGTAGTAAATGAAAACAATGAAAACAATAATAATTGGTATAATATGTGTGTAAAGGACATGGAAACCATTAAAGAAATGAAATTTTATCAAGAAACGGATGAAGGCCCATTCATAGTGCATGCTGAGAGTAAAGATAAAAATATTGGAAGATTTCACCCAATGGCAGTAGGAAGAATCTTTCATAAACATTTAATAAATTTGAGTAAAGATATAGAAGAAATCAGATCAATCGGTAAAAATAAAATAAATATAGTATTGAAAAATTATAAGAGTGCAAATAGAATAATAAGAGAAAATTTATTAGAAATATTTAACATTAATGCATATATACCTAGACACAAATTAATGAGATCGGGAATTATCTTTGATATTGACCCAGAAATAGATGAAAAAGAAATATTGAGCAGTATTCGAAGTGATTGTGAAGTTTTGGCAATTAAATGTTTAAAGGGTAGAAATAATGAAACAAAAAAGGTTAGATCACAACGAGTCAAAATTGTATTTAGAGGTAATAAATTACCGGAAAGAGTTTATATACATTCAGTGAGTTGTAGGGTTGAACCATTTATTCAGAAAGTAATACAGTGCCACAATTGCTGGAGGTATGGTCACGTACAGGCCCAATGTAAAAGTAAAATACGTTGTAAAAAGTGTGCAGAGGAACATAAAATGGAGGTATGTAAAAGTGAATTAGTGATATGCGGTCTATGTTATCGAAATCATCTAGCGGATGATAAAGGCTGTGAGGTTTACTTGAAAAATAAAAAATTAAAGAGATTATGGCAATGCAGAATATAACATATTCCGAAACAAGAAAGATAGTGCAAAACAATGGATACGCTGAAGCAGTTGGTAACACCAATCAGTTTAAAACATATGAAAGTAGTTACCCAGAAATCATTAATACCACTGCACGGAATTCAAGTACATCAAGTAGTAATAGGTATCAAATACTATCAAATTGGAAGGAAAAAGAAGAATATTATGACAAAGAAGTGTTAATGAGAATAAATAAGCCATATAATAGGAATAATATGAGAAATTTTTACAACAGAAATTTTGAACATCGGTCAGGGGTAGATTTAGTAGAAAGAAATGATAGTACTAACTCAAACAGAAGGAATAAAAGAAATGAGATTAGAGAAATATCAACTGCACGGAGGATACAATTGAGAAGTGATATTATGAATATAATTAAAAAACTAGAGGATCAGAGATATGGGATAGATGTAAATAAAGAAGATAATATGAATTTGATAAAAACAAAATTAGAATTAGTTTTAGAAAGTTTAGGTAAAGGTAGTGAAAAAAATCATTAGAAATGGTTTATTCTGAAGGAATTGATTAATTATTTATTTAGCAAAGATTAATGTGTGAGTATGTAGGTATAAATTTAAATTTAAAATTTAAAAATTATGTATGTATGTATGTATATATATATGTGTGTGTGTGTATATATATAAATATATATTGAAAAAGAAATAATAAGAAGATAGTTAAGGTTCTATTGTATTTATTTGTTTATTTGGTTAAGTAATGTTAAATCAATTAATTAATTATTGTTATTAATTTTTATATATATAAGGATTAAATTATGAGAATAATGCAATGGAATATTAGATCGTTTTATGCAAATAAAGAAAGTTTAGAAGAGTGGTTATATAATAAACAATTAGATATAATAGCATTATCAGAAACCTGGTTCAATAAGAATAGGCAGTATAATCTAAAAAATTTTAATTGTATAAGAAAAGATAGGAACGATAATAAAGGAGGGTCGGCATTATTTATAAATAAAAATATAGATAGTAGGGAATATGAAATAAATTTTGAATCAGTCGAAGATAATAATTGTCAAATGTGTGCAGCAGAAGTTAACGTTAATAAGGAAAAAATTTATTTGATATCATTGTATGTTGTTCCCAAAACGAATATTTCAAAAGAGCAATGGAATAGATTATTCTGTAAAATCCCAAAACCTTGTATCATTATGGGAGATTTTAATGTTCACCATTATGCGTGGGGTTGCTCATATAGTGATAGATATGGTAATGAACTATTGGAATCAATTGAAGAAAACAATTTATATTTAGTGAACAATGGAAGTCCGACTCTGGTATTCAAAAATACAAAAACGGTGGTTGATATAACTTTATGTTCATCAGAAATAATAAATAAGATAAAGTGGGAAGTGCAAAAGGAGTCACTGGGATCTGATCATTTTCCAATCCATGTTGAACTTAATGTGAAAAATGACAAATATATAAATACATCAGTAAGAAAATGGAATTGTAAACGAGCAGACTGGGATAAATATAAATCCGTTATAGAAGAAAAATGCGAAAAGATAGATAATTCTACAACAGAAGTTAGTTATAGTGAATTATTAGATTGGATTGATAGTGCAGCTAACAGCAGTATACAAATTAATAAGGTGAGAAATAAAACCAGAAGACCAATGTGGTTTGATAATGAGTGCTTGGATTTAATTAAAAAACGAAGAGAAATAGAAGCAAAATACAGAAATAATGCAAACTGGGAAAACTTTATGGAATGTAATAGATTCAAGGCAAAAGTAAGAAGAATTTTCAAATTGAAAAAAAGAGAAAGCTGGAATAATTATATAAATAATATAAAACCTAAAACGCCCGCTAGGAAAGTTTTCAAAATGGTAAGATCTATGCTAAATATGGGTGAATCGGGAAATGTATCAAAATGTAGTGATGATGTATTAGATGTTCTAGTAGACAAAATAGCACCACCAGGAGTTAGTTACAATATTGATGAAGATTTAAATGGGTATGCGGAAATGGAAAATGATTTATTAAGTAAACCGTTTACAAAATGGGAACTAGAAAAAACCTGGCATAAAAGAACGGATACAGCGCCTGGATTAAATAATATTCAATATTCAATGTTAAGAAACCTTCCAGAGAAAGGTAAACAAATATTACTAAAGATAATTAATAAATATTGGAAGAGGCCTGAATTAATTGATGACTGGCATATTAATAAAGTGATTTTATTAAGAAAACCAAATATAAATAGAAATGAAATAGATGCCTATAGACCAATAACTTTAAGCTCGTGCATAGCCAAGATAAAAGATAGATTGATAAAGAGGAGGCTAGAATGGTGGTTGGAACATAATAAAATATTCCCAAGAACTCAATTTGGTTTCAGAAGAAAACATAGTACAATGGATAATTTAAGTATATTTATTAGTGACATATATTTGGCATTTTCTAAAAATACATATGTTGTAGCACTATTTAGTGATATAAAGGGAGCTTATGACAATGTAATACCTAATATTTTAATGGATAAATTATTAAAGTTAGGTTTGCCATTAATTTTTGTACGAAGTATAATTTATAATGTTTTCAAAGAAAAATA